GCACATTCAGAGCTCTGAGAAATCTATGCACACACTCCAAGTGTATATTAATATCTCACGGAACCCTCGCATTTCACGGAACACAGTTTGAGAAACATTGGGTCACAGTGTTCCTTCAGGAAGTGTGTGCCCACATGGGCTTTGGAGGTGAGCTCCTTACAGGGGGGAAGAAACCACGTAACCTTGGTTTAAATTCTTTTATACAATTCAAACGTTGTTATGAAAGGCAATTCAGTTACAGCTAAATAACTTCTCTCATTATCTGGAAGAGGATTAAAGGCATTAATTCCAATCTCTGTTCAACCTTCCTCACAATTAACATCTACTGTTAATGCAACTTCAAAATGAACATTGTAATGTTTTATTTTGCTAAATATATGCAATTTTTAATATTGGCCATTCATAACACAGCAATATATACTAATAACAGCTATATATTTTCTGAACATGCATTTATGTGTATAAGAGTCTACAAAAGAATTAACAGAATTATCAAATATTAAATGCCCAGATGGAGATGGTAGCAACTAATAAACAACAGATGAAACAGGCAGTGAAACTCCAGTGTGGCAAAACTATTAATACTGAATGGCCTACCTAGAACCAGGCACAGAGCCACAATGAATAACACGTCTACATATCAAGTGTTTTACTGCTCATCTTAACATCTCCTTACAAGTGATGTTATCATTAAATCCTCTAAAGACTTAACATAAATAAGACTTTTAGGATTAACTATCTTAAACACTGATTGGCATGATATTTACATATATACCTTCCCCAAACAAGTTAAAATTATGATCTTACATGTGTATAGGGCCTTATATTTTTAAAAAGTGTTTGTCTATCTACCTCATTCACTTCATTTTATCCTCTTAACAACCCTATGCTATAGACAAGGAAGGCATTTTTCCCCACTTTAAAGATGAAGAAACTGAATATAATTTTTATCATGTACAAATAAACTCAACGAATATCTTAGTGTAGAAGTTCCCTTACACTGAAGCCTGGACTGAGAATCAAGAATAAGCCCTACCCCCAACACATATTTAATACTTTACTCCAATGTAACACACACTGCACTGTGAATGATCCTCTGCTCAAATAAGAAAAGCACTTAAATGCCAAGAAATTATGATCCTGATATGAAATAGGAAAAATGGTAAAACATGACATTTTATAAAAACTTATTTATATAAGAGTTATTAAAATATATTAACGTGATTTAATAGAAGGTACAGGAATACCTAATGCATTCTATTAAATTTTTTTTAAATTACCTCACTTTTGGAGAATGTTAAACATGGGAAGATATCTTCCTGATAGATTTTGTCTAAAAAAGGACACGTTCTGTCCATTGTGGGTTCATCCTTCCAAGATCTGAATTCATTATACAGAGACAAGTCAGCCTGGCAAACCAAAAGAAAACACAAAATAACCTGTTAAAAAGTACAAATATAAAATTACTTTATACAACCAAAACCTATTTAAACATTACTGAAAAAGAAATACTCTTCATTTAAAATAATAAACTGAACCATTCTTGATTAGTTATAATACTTGGTAGCAATTTTTCTTTTTAAAAAAATCCAAACTCCCACATGACTAATTGGCCCTTTTCAATGTACCCACTATGGTATTTAATGATGCTATCATTATCTCTCCCAAAAATTAACGTGGAGCTCCTCTTAAGATACATGTGCACACTGTCCTAAATATTAAAAAAAAATGATGACAAGTCTTTTCTGAAAATAATCAAAAATTAATTTGGACTCTAGTTAATTAAATAAAATGTTTGCATAAAGTAAGACTGACTAAATTGCGAAACCAGAAATTTGGGGTTAAAAATTATGCTAATTGTTCTAATATTACCTGAGGGCATTTCCAAAGGAATTTCCATAGTGTTTATTGTATAAGCAGCAAGACTAAAAGAAGCACACATATAAGCCTCCTAAATTGACTAGCTTGAAATATAACATTTATTTAGATATCTTTTTTGGTATATGAATATCCAGTAACGACAAACTGAATCATCAAAAATAATCCAGATTTGCACTGGCCTTCCTATTCACTCTTCCAGTTGTCCCTCTCTTTCCCTCCTCCCTTTTAACTAATTTTCCCCAAGTATTTTTTCACTACAGATTTCCTAATCCAGCTTAATACCACCTGTGAACACACAAAGCTGTACCTACCCTCAGCCACCCAAACAGAGTCATGTCCCTCAGCCTCCTGCAAGTCTGAGGTGCCCTTGTCCAGAAGCATTGGACACTATAAGTGAGGCACTGACACACCTCTGACCTCTAGGATAGCTGAGTCAGAGGTGCAGGTGTCTACAGGAAAGTAACAAAAGGCTGAGCGTATCCAACCTATCCTACAGACTTTCTTTTACGGTGGATAATGGCAATCTGTGACATTTTTTCATCCCAATCCATAAATTCCTTGAATCAAAGCTAAAAGCAAAAGGATAAAAATATTAGCAGATAAGTAATACTTACATTTTCAAATTAATTTTCTTTGTCAAATTTACCCTTTAAGGCAGCGGTCGCCAACCTCTCGGACCTCACAGACCACCAGTGGTCCGCGGACCACCAGTTGGCAACCGCTGCTTTAAGGAATATAAATGCCAGAACAGGTAAGTGGTGCTCTAAGGAAAGATTCTAGTTTAAAGGCAATAGCTTAAACTATTTATTAAAAATGGACTCACTGCCAGGAACTATGGTAAGCACTTCATAAACATTTAATACTCATAGCTACATGAGATAGATATTATGATCTCTGTTTTATAGAAAAGGAACTGGGGCTTAGAGAAATAAAGTAAGTTGCATAAGATTACACAGCAAAGCACTGGTAAAAGTTCAAGTTCACATCTAAGTGACCGCTCCCAAAGCCTTGCATAGTGCACGTGGGTGCGCCTCACTCACCCATGATTTAAATGTTGCGATTGTCATGACTGAACGCTCTCACCACATTTTCTACAGAAACATATGTTTCACTTTCTTTTGGGTTGCTATATCTTTTATTAAGATGTACACAGGTCAAATGTACATGTTTCCTTTGTCTAATAAAACTTCGTATTCTAATGTTTTGATATGTTTTCCACAAAACATTAGGATACAGGATAGAGCTGGAAAGCAAAAAGTTATTATTCTAAAGTTATAAACTGCCTATCCATATTTTAAGGAATTTCATAAACTAAAAACAAGACTTTAAAATATTTCATGACAAAACATTTCAATTTTGTCAGTGTAAATAACAGGAAAAAGGTTGAAATTACAAACACTCAGAAACTTTAGCCAAAATACAAGTTCTACCAAGCAATTAAAAAAGCTATTTAAATTAAAAGAAATTAAGGTCATGACTAACAAAAGTTTCTTAAATGTTTAACAGAAACCAATGTGAATTTTATATTGTGTTACATTCAGATTTGACAAGTACTTAACTTCTCTCTCATAGCATCTTTTGATAACTAAAAAAATATAATTCAATTAAAATATGTAACAAGCTTTGTTATTCAGTTTAATAAAGTCTTGGCCTCCATGTAAAAATTTAACTGAATGAGCACACATAGCTTCTTAAAGATTAATGGACTTGAATTCACCAATGTTAAATACAGCTTTAAAAAAAATGATGGGGGGACAAGAAGAGGTAAGCCAAAGAACTTATATACTTACTAGAGGCCCGGTGCACAAATTCATGCACAGGTAGGGTCCCGTGGCCTGGCCAGTGATTGGGACCTATAGGAGACCAATCAGGGATGGCAGGCCAGCCAGGGGGAGGAACCACGAGAGGTTGGCCAGCCAGCCCCAGTTGGGGCTGATCGGGGCCAGCTGGCCAGGGGGAGGGACTGCAGGAGGTTGGTCGGCTGTGGGAGGTTGGCTGTGGGAGCACACTGACCACCAGGGGGGCAGCTCCTGTGTTAAGCTTCTGCCCCTAGTGGTCAGTGCACATCATAGCAATCGGTCGACTGGTCGTAAAGGTCCTTTAGGCTTATCCTAATAATAGACAAACATGGTAATTGACCATACCTTCGCTACACCTCCCATTGGCTAATCAACGCAATATGCAAATTAACCACCAACAAAGATGGCGGCTAATTTGCATACTGCAGGCAGGGCGGGACAGCGCCATCCCGCCTGCCCCGCCGCCATCTGGGCCTGCTATCTGCGACCCGGGGCAGCGGATGTCTGTGTGCGACCCGACCTGGAGCGGCCGGGTGGTGCAGCAGCGATCAGCCAGCCCACCTGGCCTCCATCCGGGCATCCCGTGTGCGACCTGACCCAGGACGGCTGGGTAGGGCAGCAGTGATCTGCCGGCCCGCCCGGGCATCTCGTGTGTGACCCGACCCGGGGCGGCGTCCCAACCCCCGGATTGGCCCTGCCGTGTGCGCGACTCGGGGAGGCGGGGCAGGCACCGAGGGATCGAGCCTGCCATCTGCCACCCGGGGAGCGGGCCTAAGCAAGCAGGTGGTTATCTCCCGAGGGGTCCCAGACTGTGAGAGGGCACAAGTGGGGCTGAGGGACACCCCCCTCGCCCCCTCCCCCACCAGTGCACAAATTTTTGTGCACCGGGCCTCTAGTGTATATATAGATATGTATAGCCCATAGACACAGGCAATGGAGTAATGAAGACCTGGGGTGGGGGGTGGGGGCTGAGAAGAAGGAGGTAAATGGGGAGAAATGGGAGATATCTGTAATACTATTAACAATGAGAAATATTTTTTTAAAAAATGGAAGGGCTGCTCCATAAATTATTGATCAATCCCCTTGGAAATGCATTCTCATCACATGCAAGGATTAAGTAAAAATATTTTACAATTATATAATTTTTACTCAAAACAGCTCAAAAATAATTCCACATTATCTCAGTTATCTTTACATTTTTTAAAATGATAAGGTTTCCATTAGTTCTATTTTTTGTTGCTTAATTATCTAAATTAACTCTAGGACTTTAACTCTACTTCTCCCAGAATTTAAAAGCAACACACTATTCTTCAAGAAATCACCTTATTTTCACACGTCTTGCATTCCTTATTTTGTTAAAGTGCCCTAGCAATAAATTTTAACTAGCCAGATCACAAAAGCTACCCACTCTCCTTTATGCAAAACATGACAGTTTGCTCCTTTAATGAAATATCGAGATTAAGACACTTACCAAGTTTCCAGGAGGTACTCCAAGGTCAGCCAGGTAGAGAATGGAATTGAAGAATCCCTGAAAGCAGCCAGCTCTAGATTAAGCCTCCCCCATCTTAATACTGCTAGAAAATGTTGCTGGCAAAAATCATAACTGACACCTCAGTGATGAGAATAAATAAGTATCAATAGAGTCAGAGGGAACAGTCCTTGACGAGTTACCTCTTTGCAGTCTTTTACAAATGGCTGTATCACATTGAAGTCCTGGTGACTGCCACTCATAGCACTGCTTGTACTTTTATTTCTTGTATGCCCCTTTTTAAAAGGTGTCTTTCCACCTGGCAGAGGCTCCTGTGTTGGCGATGTTGGAGAACTGGACAATACAAGTGTCTTCAATGCAGCTACTTCAGCTTGAAGTACATCAATCTTGAAAAGAAATCAACATAATTTCATATACTAAATACGGTTAATGACAGAGGCAGCTAAAGGTTAGCAATTTTGTCAAAACACTTTCCTTTCAAAGATGAAATATAAGTTTCACCTGTATTTCCTGGGGATTAATAAAAGGAAAGGAAAGCTAAGTTATTTTATGTTTCCACATGGTTTGTATTCAGCTGCTATTCACAATGTCAAGTGATCTTTAAAAATTATCAAAATGTCTAACATTTATATGAATTTTCAAAATCTTCAAAATATAATAGCTTATGATTAGTTGTAGTTCATTCCTAAAACATAAACTCTAATAACTTTTCAGTGGCTTTATTCAGTGAATTAAGAAAACAAATATTAACTTTAAAACGTGACCATATAATCCTTTTGATAATACTTGTGATTCACAAGCCTTTGAATCATTTGGTTCTACTTATGAATGGGCACCAAATGTTCATTATTAATCTACATAGTAGCTATTTTCTCGTTCACAGTTTCCTACAGTTTCCCACATCTTCTAAAATAAGCACTACTTTACAATCAGAACAAAACCCAGTAACTGGTAAGGTATCTGTAAGACAGTCATCACTAGGGACGGGAAGAAGTTCCAGATGGTGGCAGCCAGGGCAGGGGTCCTAAGAGTGCGAAGGCTGCAAAGGGCAACCAGAACCTGGTGCTGCTGAGAGCACAGATAGCCTCCCACCTTACCCAGGACCTGACCTGGGGCCCTATCCCTAGACCCCAGAAGAACGGTCTGCCGCTGCCAAGAAGTATAATATGCGGGTGGAAGACTATGAGCAGTACCCGGATGATGGCATGGGTTATGGTGTCTCCCCAAAGCTCTGTGACCGCTCACAGCACAAGAGAGATCTATGGTGTGACTAGACCACCCAGACCTGAGACTGAACTGGGGTGAGCCGATCCACGAGATGTGTGGATCAAGAACCATGTGGACACGGCCCCCAGGCCTGTTTCTTGAAATCTCATGTGTAAGCACCTCTTCAGCTTCATGGCCTTCATGCTATTCATGTCTTGGGTGGGAGAGACTTACCCCTCCTACCAGCTTGTGGGCCTAAAGCCAGTGATGGCGAACCTGTGACACGCGAACTCATTTTTTTGGTTGATTTTTCTTTGTTAAATGGCATTTAAATATATAAAATAAATATCAAAAATATAAGTCTTTGTTTTACTATGGTTGCAAATATCAAAAAATTTCTATATGTGACACGGCACCAGAGTTAAGTTAGGGTTTTTCAAAATGCTGACACGCCGAGCTCAAAAGGTTTGCCATCACTGGCCTAAGCAGTATTCTTATAATAATCTGTACCGGGAATGAGGTGGCGATCCCACCAAGAGCCTAAGCAGGTGGTTCACTATGAAATCTGGGGAAATTCATGGGTTTTGTACCCCCTAATTGACCCCTTCATTCCCAGAGATTTAACCTTAATGAAATCCCTAAAAAAACAGTGCTGTGGTTAAAATAAAAAATAGTAATCACTAATTTCTTTACATTTTATACTACTCCAAGCAGTAAAAACTTACTTTTCCTTGTGCTTCTTTTAGCTGTTTTTCTGCTGTTGCCTGCTTGACATTTGCTTCTCTCACCATCTTATGAGCTTCCTGAAAAAGTTAACATCTCAAATTTTGGAAACTAAGTAGCATTTATTTTCAAAAATCTCTTAAGTGATTGAAAAAAAGATTTACTACCAAAATTTAGCCTGAAAATAAGTACTCAATGTCAACTACTGAAATAACAGTTGTCAGCAGATAGACAAACTATTAGAAATTAGGAAGAGGGACATTTTTTAGTACCTATTACCACTGACGCAGTCAAGCTGAGGTCACTCCCTCTGATCCATGGTTGAATAAAGGACTGTGAATGTGATGAAGAAAATATATGACCCATATGTTAAACCCATGTCCTACGAAGTTAGATTTTTAAAACTTTATATATGTGTGTGTATGTTTGTGTGTGTGTGTGTGTGTGTGTGTGTGTGTGTATTAGTTACAGCAAAGACATACAGAAGGGACAAGTAAAAATATTAAAATATCAAGTGTTGCAGTTTACAGAAATAAAGCTGAGAAGCCTTAGAGATTTCAATTTAAAAAATCCACAAATGATATGAAGTAATGACTTTGTACAGAGAAATCTAAAGAGATAAATCAGTTTAATATGTAATGGGGTCTTAATTTTATAGTGCCACAAATATGAAACTCCAGGTATTTAATTATCTTTTATTCATATAATATTTATTCATCAAACATTTATTCACACCACCTCTGCATGAGGTTGCACTCGTAGTGCTCATAATATACTAGGAAAAGTCAAGCTCCCTGCTCTTATGGACCTTACATGCTGATTATGTTCTAATAATTAAAATATCTGAGCAAGAATTCTGGATATACTCTAAGTGAGGTATGAACTTTTATAGTTTTCTAAGAAAGAGAGGGATATGACTGAAATTGTATTTTTAAAAGATTATTCTGCTGTATGGAATAATCCCTATGAAGAATTAATGATGGACTGAAACAGTATATAGGGTGCTCTAGACAGTCCCCTGGGATGAACAATTAAAAGAGCTGGACAGTTTTTTAAATGTGTTTGAAGGCATTAGAGAGCAAATAAAATAGTGAAGGACTGGGGGACCAAGATCCAACAGAAGATGTAAACCCAGAAAAGAGAGCTGGAATTAGGGGTGACTTTTCCCCTTGAGATAAAAAGGACACAGTGAAAAGATACAGCACACATGTAATTGAAGTCGCAGAAGGAAAGAAAAGAGAGCTAGAATGAGGGAAAGCAGTCTCTAAAAAAGTACCATATAGGATTTTACACGCTGACAAAAGACATCAAAAGGTAGGTATAAAAAGTTTGACCCCTGGCTGGTTTGGCTCATTGGGTAGGGTATCGGCCAATGGATGGACTGAGGGGTCCCGGGTTTGATTCCAGTCAAGGGTACATACTTCCATTGCAGACTCCATCCCCGATCCCAGTAGGGGTGAATACGGGAGGCAACCAATCAATGTCTTTCTCTCTCTCTCTCTCCCCTCCTCCCTTCCACTCTCTCTAAAAATCAATGGAAAAATACCCTCGGGTGAGAATTTTAAAAATAAATAAATAAATTTCAAAAGTTTGAAATTTTTCCTATCACTTTATCACTCTGTAGCTGAAAATAACAGAAGAATCATCTATACCAGGAGTCAGCAAACTTGTTCTGTAAGAGCCAGATAGTAAATAGTTTTGGCTTTGTGAGCCATACAGGCTGTTGCAACTACTCAATTCTGCTGTTGCAGTGTGAAAGCAACCACAGACAATAAATATAGAACAAATGAGTGTGACCATTTCAATAAAAATTTATGGGCACTAAAATTTGAATTTCATATAGTTTTCATAGGTCACAAAATATTCTTTTGATCCCCTGCAACCATTTAAAAATGTAAAAACCAATCTTAGCTCAAGGCTGTACAAAAGTAGACATAGACTAGTTTTACCCTACAGGAAGTAGTTTGCAGACCTCTAGTCTATGTAAACATTCAAATCTTTATACTTACAAACTTTGAAAAGAGAATTTTTAACCTAATTCTCCCCAAAGAATGAATTATTCCTAATCTTCTGATTAGTTTGCAAAAACAATTTGTTGGTATTAGAGAAGACAGAAATTCAGTAAATTCAGTAGAGAATTTTCTGAAAAAAACCTTCATGTAACTGACAATGGAAATGAAACTTCAGTATAATTTTTTAAAACAGGGAAAGATATACTTCTTCCATTTGGATCAATATGTTTGTTAGTTATCAGCAACATTAAATATAAATGTTTTCAAAACAAAACAAAACAAACAAAAAAACACAACATTTAGACCAGACCTTGATCTGGATAACAAATTGTTAATACGAGATTTTCAAAAACAAGGTAACATATTCAATCCCACTCTTCTCACTAAATACAGGGGTGAGCAAAAGTAGGTTTACAGTAGTAGCATACAAGACAGTTTACTCTTGTATTATTATTTATTAATTACTAGAGGCCCAATGCACGAAATTCGTACATGGGGGTGGGGGAGTCTCTCAGCCCAGCCTGCACCCTCTCCAATCCGGGACCCCTTGGGGGATGTCCGACTGCAGGATCGGGCCTAAACCGGCAGTCGGACATCCCTCTCACAATCCAGGACCACTGGCTCCTAACCGCTTGCCTGCCTGCCTGATCACCCCCTAACTACTCCCCCGCCAGCCTGATGACCCCTCACTGTTCCCCACCAGCCTGATGCCCCCTCACTGTTCCCCCAGCAGCCTGATCACCCCCTAACTGCTCCCCCACCGGCCTGATCATCCCCTAACTATTCCCTCGCTGGCCTGATACCCCTAACTGCCCTCCCCTGCTGGCCTGATCCCCCTAACTGCCTCTGCCCCGCCACCATGGCTTTGTCTGAAAGGAAGTCCGGAAAATGTCCGGTCTAATTAGCATATTACCCTTTTATTAGTATAGACTAGAGGCCTGGTGCACAAAAATTTGTGCACTCGGGGGGTCCCTCAGCCCGGCCTGTGCCCTCTTTCAGTCTGGGACCCCACGGGGGATGTCCACCTGCTGGCTTAGGCCCGCTCCCCAAGGGAACAGGCCTATGCTGGCAGTCAGAAATCCCTCTGGCAGCCTGGGAGGCCTCGGGGGCTGTCTACTTGCCAGTGGGGACCAGGCCTAAGCTGCAGTCGGACATCCTTAGTGCTGCTGAGGAGGCGGGAGAGGCTCCCGCCATCACTGCTGAGCTGGCAGCCATCAGCCTGGATTGTGGCTGAGAAGAGCTCCCCCTGTGGGAGCACACTGACCACCAGAGGGCAGCTCCTGCATTGAGCGTCTGCTCCCTAGTGGTCAGTGTGTGTCATAGTGACCAGTCATTCCCAGTCTTTCTGCTGTTAGGGTCAGTTTGCATATTACCCTTTTATTATATAGGATTACATTGTTTCCCATACAAACAACTGTAAATCTGCTTTTGCTCAACCCTGTAAGCAAATGCACACATATACACAGTATGTTTTAGTGAGAAGAAAGTATATTGTACTATTACAAAAAATTTTACGCATTTTTATTCTTACTCTTTTCAAAATTAATGCGACACATTATGACTTAGTGTACGCATATAATTTATGAGTAAGTACATATGCTGTTAGAACAGTGCCTAACACACAGGGAACACTCAGTAAATATGAGGTATCTTTATCATAATTAAGGTACATGCTCAATTTTTTTTTACAGATCAGGTACATGAACAAAAAGTTTGGCATATACTGATCTAGGTAAGAAACGATGGTGGCTGGAAGACGGTGACAGCAGATTCAAAATAGAAAGGCAGACAGATTTTTTATGTTCTCCAGGGACTGTCACAGGACCTTTTGGACAGTTTCAGTGTAGGATGAAGAGGGGCCTCAGTGATGACTCCTTTTCTGTGGCTTGAGACAAAGGAATTGCCACTTATGATTTTCATAGTACTCAAGGCAAGAGTCGAGGTCCCAGCACTGCTCATTATCTATGCCTCATTTTCTTCACAGATTAAAATAATAATTTGTAGTCTATGCCTAGCATTATGGAGAGAAAACCAGATACAGCACAAAAATTTGCCAAAATTGGCTGACAAAATATTTTTAAAATCTTAAGATTACCTATGTTAAATGTAGACAACTTTATAAAGCATTCTTTCAATGGAGTTCACTTTATCTCTAAATCTGAGATACAAGAAAAAAAAATATATATATATGTGTGTGTAACTTTAAAGTTCTTCGATTTGATACTTTTAAGACTCAACTTTGATACAAAGTATAATTATATTCAAGATTATTTGTTCATAATACATTAATAAACTGCTAATTTGAATTTATCTGGTAAATTTATCAAACTGTACAAATTAATTTTATTCAGAATAATCTTTAATTCTTAAAACTATACATGTATATACATATCATAAAATGCAAGCAAATACTCTTTTCATAAGACAATGGTACATTGAGATCACAAAGCCACAATTAAGACTAGAGAAAAACTTTTAGCACTGTTTTTCAAAATTCATAAATAACTCGTTTAAATACAACTTTCTTCATTACCAAAATCATGTTTAATCACTGTAATTTCTTTTCCAGAAAGTTTACGGTGTCAATGCTATTAGCCATTGTAAGAGTAGGGGACAGGTTAGGGATCCCAAAACTATGTTTTTTAGATATACTTTTTCATTAATAGCACAAACTGCATTTCTGGTACTTCACATCCCATTACAGCAGTAGTTCTCAACCTTCTGGCCCTTTAAATATAGTTCCTCATGTTGTGGTGACCCCCAACCATAAAATTATTTTCGTTGCTACTTCATAACTGTAATGTTGCTACTGTTATGAATCATAATGTAAATATCTGATATGCAGGATGGTCTTAGGCGACCCCTGTGAAAGGGTCGTTCGACTGCCAAAGGGGTCGCGACCCACAGGTTGAGAACTGCTGCATTACAGAGAGGAAAAAGTTTCTTTCCGTTAGTTTCCTTCTATTTCATCTAACAGAATATACATGTAAGTACAGAAGGTGGAGCTAAGTATGGCTAAAATTAGGGCAGGCAGGTAAGAAATCAAAATTAATATAAGTATTATAACACGTTTGCTTTCTTCTCTAGTATCCATATCATTACAAAATTTTCTTTTGCCAGACAATATTGGAAGAAAAAGTCTTATGTTTCTGTATACCCCTTGTACATATAAAATGTAACAGGTCACACAGCTCCTATTTCAGATCTTTAACTTTCCACTCTCCTCCACCTTAAATTTCTCTTCCTCTCATCTCCAATGACTAGTTAACTAAACAAAATAAATTAGTTTTTAAATGTTCATGAAAGAAAAGGACTCCAAAAAAGACAAAGACAAAGAAGAGGGCAAACAAGTGTGGAACAGAGGGAGCATGGAAAGCTCACATGTCTGAAGATATCCACTGCAATGCTACTTATAATGATAGAAACTGTGGAATACATATTTGATAGATTATTCTTTCATTACACTGAGTATGCAGTAGCATGAAAAGAGTTTTATTTGGGGGAAAAAAACCTATAAAATGTATTAGTATTGCAACTACGTGAGCAAACATGCATATCCAACAATGAAACAGATGCTGCATAAATACAAATAAAGGATGAAGAAATTTTCCCACTAAAATCTTGTAAAAGTTTTAAGAACAAACTTTTGAGAAAAAAATATCGATAAGTGCTAACAACATTAGGTATCCTCATAACACATCAATGTTTTTGATAAGGAACGGAGGCTAACCTAAAGGAGGCACTCCATGGAAGTAATTTTTAACAGCAAGGAAGTACTATCCTCTACTCACCCCTCATGGATATTTATAAGTTGTCAAAATGATCAGGGAGTATTTCTAGCATTTGGGGGCAAAGCCAAGTATGATGGTTAATTTTGTATGTCAACTTGACTGGGCCACATGGTGTTCCCAGATATTTGGTCAAGCATTATTCTGGGTGTTTCTGGATGAGATGAACATTAAAATCAGTAGACTGAGCAAAGCAGACTGCCCTCCATAATATGGGTGGGCCTCATTCAATCAGTAGAAGACCTGAATAGAACAAAGGCTGATCCCCAGAGAATAAGAGAGAATTCTTCTTGCCTTCAGACTTGAATTGAAACATCAGCTCTTCCTGGGTCTTGAGCCTTTGGACTTGGATTGGAACTACACCATCAGCTGTTCTAGGTCTCCAGCCTGCCAAATCACCCTGTATAACTTGGGACTTACCAGCCTCCATAATCACATGAGCCTCTTTCTGTATATGTGTATATGTATCTATGTATATACACACATGCTATTAGTTCTGTTTAGTGGAGAATCCTGAATAATATACCAAGGATGCTAAATGTCCTACAATATCAGTGGCTGCCCTATTGAGAAACACTGAGTTGGGTAAAAATTTTGGTCCCAAGTGGTGGACAGAGCATCGGCCTTCGGACTCAAGGGTCCCAGGTTCAATTCTGGTCAAGGGCATGTACCTTGGTTGCGGGCACATCCCCAGTGGGGAGTGTGCAGGAGGCAGCTGATCGATGTTTCTCTCTCATCGATGTTTCTGACTCCCTATCCCTCTCCCTTCCTCTCTGTAAAAAATCAATAATATATATATATATATTAGAAGTGTATGTAACTCCTAACATTCCGCAAATCATACAGTATCAGATATATATCAAAGGTTTGCCATCTGCCGAAACCGGTTTGGCTCAGTGGATAGAGCGTCGGCCTGCGGACTGGAAGGTCCCAGGTTCGATTCCGGTCGGGGGCATGTGCCTGGGTTGCAGGCACATCCCCAGTGGGAGATGTGCAGGAGGCGGCTGATTGATGTTTCTCTCATCGATGTTTCTGACTCTCTATCTTTCTACCTTCCTCTCTGTAAAAAATCAATAAAATATATAAAAAAAAAAAAGGTTTGCCATCTTTGTTGTAGAGTCATACAAAGTTACTCTAAAGCAGTCCCTAAGTATTTGGTGAAAATCAAAATTAAATTTACCTCCTTTCTTTCCACATATCCATATTTAAACAACCTCATACTGGTAGCCCATAGTGTTTTTTCATTTCACAGCATTTTAAGTCGCAGTCTCTATATTTCTTAAAAATTTTATTTTTTCTTAGAAGACTTATAAATATGTATAAAGTTAAGCATATTTTTCCTCAAGATTCCCTCAAAAAAACAACTCTATCAATATATAATAATCACGACTTTGCTTTTGGCCAAGACGTAAATAGACCAACCTCAAACAGACTAGCTGTGAGTTCCTCCAATTCCTGTCCAAGTTGATCACGTACTTTAGAAAGCCTCTCACACTCTTCATCTTTTAACTTCAGTTCCTGTGAGAAATTGATCATTTTATTTTGGGTTTCCATAGTTTTAAGTCAGATTCAGCAGACTATATAATCTTTACTAATAAGATTACAAAATATTAATACTGTCCACTCCTACAATATTCACACTAAAAATGTTTATTTAGCACTTGCTATGTGGAAGACAATGAGGCAAATCTAAAATTACAAATAATTCTAACTCACATATTAAATTTTCATGTTTCATAAACATCCAAAGATTAAATATTATATATTATGTGTGAAAATAAACAATTAAATGATTTCATTCTTTTTTCCTTTAACTTTTTTCTGAACATATTTATTTCCATCAAGCAAGCAATTTCTTCAACTATGCATATTCAATAAAAGTTCAACAGGTTTTTTTGCCCATTTTTGCTTTAAAAATTGTTTGTATATAATTTTATGTAATATACCACAATTAGTCTAAAGTTTCCATCAGGAGACTATACCATTTAAGACTACAATAAGAGACAAATGATGCATATTTAAAATTCAGAAGAATGTTAATAACAAAAATCACATCTTACATTTATACATAACTCCCAATAGGTCACAAAAAATGTTAGAAAATTTCTTTATTAAGATGTTACAGTATGATTGTCAGAGAGGTACGAGACTTATCAGGATGTTCACTTAGTAAGTTATATAATGTCTAATCCAGCGGTCGCCAACCTTTGAGACCTCACGGACCACCAGTGGCAACCACTGGTATAATCACTGGGGTCTACACTTGAAACTAATATAATATTGTATATCAACTATAATTGAAAAATAAAAAATGATGTAAATGTAAAAAATTTTAAGATGTTACTAATATGCAATTTTATGTTGCCCTAAATTAATCATTCAAATTTAGATATTAAAAAAAAAATCCAAGCTCCTTATATATTGGTCACAATTGAACTAATAAATAATGGCTTAGTTGTGTAATTATTGTGGTGGCAGCAAAGTTTTTGAATTTCCCAAGGACAACTCCTGAAAGCTAAATCTACCAAATAGGATATCAGAAAAACCCAATGACTACATCTACACTAATAATGGACATATGTAAATTGACTGTGCCTTTGCAACGCCCCACAGCCAATCAGGAGTGAGTATGCAAATTAACCCAACAAAGCTGGCGGGCCTGTGGGCAGCACACACGCGCGGCAGGCACCGAGTGGCCAGGGGCGGGGTGGGACGCTTGCGTCATCACCGATGATGCAGGCGTTCTGCACTGCCCCAGCTGCTCCAGGCCTCTGGGCAGCGTGGCAAGGCAGAAAGGGGCTCCGGCCGGAGCAAAGGCAGTGCCAGCAGCCAGGGGAAGGAAGGCCCACTCTTGCACGAATCTTCGTGCATTGGGCCTCTAGTCTTCAATAAAAGTAGGTAAAAGAGAATCCCCTCAAAGCTTAGACTATGAGGGAATGTGGCTGCACTGCCAACACTGCAGGATCAGCAACTCTGTGAAAGGGAGCAACAGGAAGTAAATGGGACTACAGACGTACCCTGCAAAATCCAAGAACCCGAAAAATCACTATAAGTACCCCTAAAGCAAAGGATTCTACCATTGGTGGAAACTGGAAGAACAGACTGAGAACAAACGGGGAAAAGGGAAAGGTTTTCTCAGGCTCCATATTGCAGGTGAGCGCAAAAATCTGCCCTGAGGCAGCAAACGGTCCTACTGTGAAGCTCTACACTCTCAGCCTCTCAAAGCAGCCAGCAGAGAAACCCTGCCAGGACACAGCACCACGCTAAGGGAAACACTCGTGTTATCTGAAACCAAACTGCAGGGCAGGGACATGGAGATAGAGAGAAGTTCAGATATTAAAGGAGGAAGGTCAGGGCAATGTTCCAAAGGAAACAGACCACAGAAAATACTATGAAAATATATCGTATGATGTAATGTTAAGGCTGCAAGGCTCACAGAGACACTGGGCTAGAGGAGAAAACCTTGAATAAGGCTTACCTCTGAGAGAAGTGGCTACACAGATACACCAATAACAATAGAAGGGAAAGCCCTGAACGTAAAACTAAGAAAGTTATCCTGGTTTATCCTACTCCTTCACAGGAATCTCCTTCCCATATTCCAGAAAAATCCAATTCATTAAAACATGGAAAACAGACAAAAATCTGTGAAGTTCTCATTATAAAAAAGTTAAACACAAAGCCAAGTCACCTATAAGAAAAAGAAAATCAGGCTGGTATTAAACATCAACAGCATTTTATATTAGAAAACAATGCAATAACATTTTTAAGATACTAAAAAAAAAGTGAGATGAAGATTTTTTTTATTTTTATTTTTTATTGATTTTAGAGAGAGAGGAAGAGAGAGGGAGAGATAGAAACATTGATGAGAGTGAAACATTGATTGGCTGCCTCCTGCACGCCCCCTGCAACCGGGGCATGTGCCCTGACTGGGAATTGAACCAGAGACCTCCTGGTGCATGGGATAATGCTCAATCCACTGAGCCATACCACCAGGTAAGATGAAGATTTTAAATCCAGCCAAAGTGTCCTTCAAGTGTAATGTCAGAGACAAAGAGTTATAAACCTGTAAAACTTTAGAGAATATCTCTCCCAGAGCATGCCTGAGTGGTCAAGTGGAGAATGAGTTTCAGATAAATAAGAAAAAAAATCAAGAATATATAATGTTAAAGACTGAGGATAAGCAGCAAATATATTTAATTATAGAACTACAACTAAAAGATGCGGATATCAAGAGAATGAAAACACGAGAAAATATCTGCAAAAGACATATCTGATAAAGATGTTTGTCCAAAATATACAAAGAATTATTAAAACTCAATAGTAAGGAAATGAACAACCTGGTTACAAAATGGCGAAAGATCTGAACAGACACCTCACCAAAAAGACATACAGAGGGCAAGTAAACATATGGAAAAAAAATGTTCCAAATCATATGAAATCAGGGAAATGAGAATTAAAATGAGTACCACCAAAAACCAGAACACAGACAACGCTAAATGCTGGCAAGGTGAACAACAGGGACTCTCATTCATTGCTGGTGGGAATGCAAAATGGTACAGCCACTGTGGAAGACAATTCAAGTTTTTATAAAATTAAACATATTCTTTTTAAAAAATATACATAAGACTATTTATTGCAACAGTGATTGGTATGGGAAAATATTAGAAATAACCTAGATACCTATTAATAAGGAAGTAGTTAAATAAATTACAGTAATCCATACAATGAAATGGGTTCAATTTCAGGATTGGGGTTATGGTTAATGTGAATGCTGAGAGAAAATAGTCAAGATAGCTTAAGTAAAAATTCAAGATGTGAACAGTGCTTACATACCTTTACATATTTCAATAGGTAATATTTAGTTTCGTGCATACAGAAAGCCTTTAAGGAAATACATAAGAACTTCCTAACCAGTTTGTCTCTGGGAAGGTAACTGGCTGATTGACAGACCAAAAGCAATCTGACAAAAACTAAACACATCTTAATATACAACCCAGCAACCACACTCCTTGATATTAAACCAAAGGAGCTGAAAACTTATGTCCACACAAAAGTCTGCACTTGAATGTTTATATATTCATAACTGCAAAAACTGGGGAGCAACCAAAATATAGGTGAATGGATAAAAAATTCAGTAGGGAAATGAATAAACTGTGGTGGTACAACCAGATAAAGGAGTATTACTCAGGACTAAAAGGAAATGAGCTACCAAACCATGAAAAGGCATGTAAGAAAATAAATGATGTTACCATATTTAAAAATCCAATCTGAAAAGGCTACTTACTGTATGATTCCAACTGTATGACATTCTGGAAAAGTAAAACTATGGAGACAGTCAAAAGATCAATGGTTAACAGGGTTTAGAGGGTAGGAGGGATAAGTAGAGCATAGAGGATTTTTAGGGCAGTGAAACTATTCTGGATGATACTGTAATGGTAGCTCCATGTCACTGTACACTTGCTAAAATTCATAGATGTATACCACCAAGAGTAAACCCTAATGTAAATACAGGACTTTGGGAAATGATGATGTGTCAATGTAGGTTCATCAGTTGTAACACCAAAAACTCTGGTGCAGAATGTGGATAATGAAGGAGGTTGTGTGTGTGTTGGGACAGGGTTTTATCAGAACTCTGTAATTCCCTCTCAATTTTTCTGTAAACCTAAAACTGCTCTAAAAAATAAAGTGTTGGTTTTTTGTTTTTGTTTTGTTTTTTAATGGGGATAGCTCTAACCAGTGGTGAAAGCACTGGCCCATGCACCGAAGGGTTGCAGGTTATATTCCTGGTCAAGGGCATGTACATGGTGCGGGTGAGTGCAGGAGGAAACAAATCCATCTCTCTCTCTCTCTCTCTCTCTCTCTCTCTCTCTCTCTCACCGATGTTTCTCTCCCTCTCCCTCCCACTCCCTTGCTCCCTTCCACACTCTCTAAAAATCAATGGAAAAAATATCCTCAGGTGAGGATTAACAATAAATAAATAAAATGGGAATAAAGCTGACAAAACAATTATATAAATGTTATAAGCTTCAGGAATATAAAAGTAATACACACAAACAAAAAATAGGAGAAAGATTAAACTAAATTCAGAACATCTTAAATATTAACTGGGAGTAAAGAGATACAAATCACTTTGAGGCTCACAAATCAATTAGTATAAACCTAAACACATTTAACACCATAGAGATTAACATTATTTTAACTACAATTTAATTATACAAGAAAAAGAAACAGTAACTAGATAATTTCAGTATTTTTTCAAGGTAGGGAACAAAGGCAGTAGCTAAAGAAGGGCTAGGAGATATTTATATCTTCAATTAAAGGTAACAACTAGAATGGAAATCAAACCTTCTAAAATACCAAAAAGGAAAAGAGGAGGAGGAGGTCACACACACACAAAAATGGAGCACACAGTGAAAAGACATTTGAAAGCCATGTAACAGAAACATGCCCAAATATAGCACGTTTACCAATAAATGCAAATGGACATAACTCACCTATTAAAATTATTTTCAGACTAG